AATAGTTCAAAATAAGTAAAAGTTCATAAATGGATGTAAAATTTGTCTTCCTAAATAAAAAATTTCAAGGAAGAAGCTTACACTTAATAACCATAATGTTCATAAATCAAGGGGCAGGATGTCAAGAGGCTAAAGTTGCAATAGTTCAAAATAAGTAAAAGTTCATAAATGGATCTACCTAAATAAAAAATTTCAAGGAAGAAGCTCACACTTAATAAGCATAATGTTCATAAATCAAGGGGCAAGATGTCATGATGCTAAAGTTGAAAAAAAACACTTTACAGTTTGAAGCAAGTTTCAAAAGCATGATATAAAAATTGACAAGTATTCTTTGCACCAAGTGATCTTATAAGCATGCACTCTATGCCAAAATTTAATATGAAGAAATATTATGAATTTGCATATATGTTGATGAATTGATCTACATTGACAAGCATATTGAAGAAATTTAAGATAGAAATTATAAAGCATTTTGAGATAATTGATATCAAACTCATGACACATTATCTTGTTATTGAAATCATATCAAGAGAATACATTTTCTCTTGCAAGAATAATATGTCAAGGATATTAATCTCACAAGTTAAAATGAATAATTAAAAGCAGATAAGAACATAAATGAAATGCAATGTCAAGCTTGAGAAAAGAGAAAGTGCAAATTCAACACCTTTCAAGAGCTTGAGAAAGGCCTAATATTCTCGATGTTCTTAGGCATGTCAATCTTTACATGGAACATCCAATAACCACTCATTTTGTGGCTGCAGAGATAATTCTTCACTAACTTTAAGGCACGACCAAACTTGGCTTACTTTATTCATTTTAACGCTTATAAAATTCTTTTATATTACCACTCATTTTGTGGCTGCAGAGATAATTCTTCACAAACTTTAAGGCATGACCAAACTTGGTTTAATTTATTCATTTTAACACTTATAAAATTCTTATATATAATGTGGGGAATGAGAAGAAGATATTAATGATTTTTTTTTATTTGTATCTTTGTATAGTAGAAATCACATTCATTTGACCTGAAAAAATTTGATTGTCATCCTTTCAACATGGTATCTAGATGTTTAAACTAAGTATGTAGATGTTACATCATATTTTTTTTCCATGAAATTTGACTTTATAATTTGTTGCACGAAGCAAACATTTTGTGATTAAAACCAACCAACAGTTTCATGGACAACAAATTAACAATATAGCTTTGGCCAAGAATTCAATGCTAGAAGAGATAATTGCTTTAAAAGTGATATATCGTAAAAACTCATATGTAAACCCATTTAACAAGTATTATCTTTGGCCAAGAATTCAATGCTAGAAGAGATAATTGTTTTAAAAGTGATATATCGTAAAAACTCATAAGTAAACTCTTAGATTATATGATCAAATTTTAAACATTTTAGCGAAGCCACTTAAATATAAAATCTTTTATAGATATAAGAAATTTGCTTGGAATCATAAAATAAGTTTAAGAGGGGGCATTGAATAGTAAACTCATTAAAATTTCAAATGCTAGGAAATCTATGTGAAAGATAATGTGGTAAGTTACATTAGTGCTTAATAAATGATTAATATTATTTTGATATTGAATAATGTTTGGCATGGATAAATTTTTTAATATATACAAATACTTATGCATAAAATAAGAAGCAACTAAAAGGGAAGAAGGAGAAAAAGAAACATTTTTTCTGAAAAAAGTTTATTAAATGAGTTTGAGTATTATATTATGATAAAACTTGTGAGTTTGAGTATGTGTGATAATTTCTAATAAACACAATATAAATGATTAACACCAACATCCAGACATCGACCTATTTAGACTTAAATTAAATTGTCACACATGACATTCTTGATTTTTTTCTTATTACCACCAACAAACACGACCTAACATACTAATGGATAGAAGTTGAGACTCAAGGGAAATTTGTATATGAGACATATAAGTTGAACATAAAGACATTATAACACAATCATACATAAATAATTAATGGACAATATGACAAAGAGCTAGTATAAAAAATTTCATTATATCATTCCAAGAAGTTACATTCATTCTTCATCTCAAGATTGAGATATATTGTTGCCTTAAGACAACTAAGAAAATTCAAGGTCTACAATGCACTCATTCAGAGAGATCTTTCATCTGCCTATGAGTGGTGTATGAAAAGGAGAATATTTGAAATTAATGGCTTAACAAGTATTTTGAAGAGACGGATAATAATATCAAAAAGATAAATAAATAATAAAAACTTGAATTTTAATAGTATGAACTAACAAAAAAAAAATTAATAAAAAATTTATAAATAAGAATATTTTATAATCAAGAATAAAATGCTAAATATTATAGTTAAATCAAATTCATCAACTATCAATTCTACCCCAAAACTCATTGTAATATTTTATTTCATATGTTGCCAATGAACTTACCATAAAACTATTTCTTATCTTATTTGGTATTTTTTGTCTTGACACTTAACTTTTGAAAGACATGTTATGTTATTACTGTTGAAATATATAGAGTGTAGATTAATTGAATCAATCAATCCATGAGAAAATTAATGATAAATTTTCTTGTCTTTGGCACATAAAACTTATAAATAGATTCTGAATATTTTTTTGCTTGATTAGTTTCAATTTCAAACTACTCTAATTAAAATTTTAAGGTGCCAAATATTATTACTTTTAAATGATTCATGTCTAATCTCAAAGATTTAAAGTGAAACATCAACTAACGGCTCCTTTTAGGATGAAATCGGACTCTACTCTCTTCTGCCTCCCGCCACCTCTTCCTCCTTCCCCTCGCCACCGGGCCCTCGACTCCCTCCTTTTCTCCGCCATTTCTTCCTCCTCCTCAGTCCTCCAACTCCGTCAGATACACGCGCTCCTCCACCGCTTCGGCCTCCATGCCAGCAGTTTCCTCGTCGCCAAGCTACTACGCCGTTTTACCGATTTCGGCATCCTCCCCCCTAACCCCTATCCGTCTCTGATTTTTTCCCAAGTCCCTTCTCCCAATTCCTTTCTCTGGACTGCCTTCATCCGCTCCCACTCTCCCTTCCTTTCCTCTGCTTCTACTGATGCCGACTCTCCCCTCGCAGTCTACTCCCTCATGCGACGCCAATCTCCACCGCCGCCTCCTCTCTCCTTTACTTTCACTGCTCTTCTCAAGTCTGCCCAATGTATATCTGACGGCATCCAAATCCACGCTCAAACCATTTCCATTGGTGGCTTCGACAGTGACCTTTTCGTCCTCAACACCCTCATTGACATGTACATTCGCTCTGGCCATTTGAGTCACGCCCGCCAGGTGTTCGATGAAATGCCTGTTAGGGATGTGCTGTCCTGGACCTCTCTTGTTGTAGCGTACAGTAGAAATGGAGATATGGATTCTGCTGCTGGGCTCTTCCATCTTTCTCCGGTGAAGGACTTGGTCGCTTGGACTGCTATGATTAGCGGCTATTCCCAAAATGCCAAGCCAAGGGAAGCTTTGGTTGTTTTCAAGGAAATGCAGGCAGCCGGCGTTGTCTTTGATGATGTCTCTTTGGTTGGTGCGATCAACGCATGTGCTCAATTGGGCACATGTAGCTATGCCTCTTGGATTCGTCAGGTTGTTGATCAGGCCTGCATTCCATTAAATGCATTCATTGGGTCGGCTATGATTGATATGTACGCAAAATGTGGTCTGATTGATGATGCTCAGCACGTGTTTGGTCAAATGTCTGATAAGGATGTTTATTCTTACAGCGCAATGATTTCAGGTCTTGCAGCACATGGCAGGGCTGATGAGGCAATCTGCTTATTTGAGTTCATGGTGAGACACACAGATGTGCGGCCCAATCGTGTCACCTTCGTTGGGGTGCTCACAGCTTGCAGTCATGCTAATTTAGTAGAGAAGGGCCGTCACTACTTTCTGATGATGAATGAGTACAGAATCACTCCAGATGCTGGCCATTATACTTGCATGGTTGATTTGCTTGGCCGTGCCGGGCTTGTTGATGAAGCACGGAAGCTAGTTCAGTCTATGCTTGTCGAACCAAACGGAGCAGTTTGGGGTGCGTTGCTTGGTGCTTGCAGGATCCATGTGAAGCCTGACATAGCCAGAATTGCTTCAGAACATATATTCAAACTTGAACCTGACTGTATTGGAAACTACATTGTGCTCTCAAATATCTATGCTTCGGCTGGCATGTTGAATGAAGTGTCTAATATAAGAAAAATGATAAGAGAAAGGGGGCTGAGGAAGAACCCAGCTTCTAGTTGGATGGAGTCTGGTGATGGTGTTATCCATGAGTTCTTTGCAGGCGATGATTTGCACCCGAGATCGAAGGAGATAAAAGAAGTATTGGAGAATCTGTTGCAGAGATTGAGGTTGGTTGGTTATGTGCCTTTACTGAGCTCAATTGTTTATGACATGAGTGATGATGAGAAGGAGAGGATTCTGAAGGGCCATAGTGAGAAGCTTGCCTTGGCCTTTGGCGTGCTAACAACTGCTGTTGGGGGTGTGATAAGAATTATGAAAAATATCAGAATCTGTGAAGACTGTCATCTGGTGATGAAGATGTCATCTGGGGTTATTGAAAGGGAGATTGTTATTAGAGATAGCTTGAGATTCCACCATTTTAAGAGAGGAGCTTGCTCTTGTCATGATTTTTGGTGATGATGTAGAGGATTGGCTTGTGATTTTTCAATCAATTGTGAATCACAAAGCTGAGCTATTGTATAATTAGAGAATAACTGATATTCTTAGGAGACATTTTTATGTTTGAAGAGGAGACTAAAGAGGATTTATTTAAATCTTATATAAGCTCAATGAGATGAGGAATAACTAAGCTATGTAAATTCCTGGTGGAATGGAGAATACATTTTTGACCTGTTGGTTTTATGTACTTTAATAAAAGGTTTACAAATATGAAAGCAAGACGAGAACATAGGGCAGTTAGGGATCTACTTGTTCATAAGATGACCACTACTGGCTTCTTAAATCCTTCTGTGATTTCTATAGCATGTTGTTGCTTGCTAGAGGACATCTTCTGCACTAGTTGTTGGGGTGGTTGTTGCATCATCTATATATAAATATCTATGTCTATCTCTCTCTCTCTCTCTCTCTCTCTCTCTCTCTATATATATATATATATATATATATATATTGTTGGATCCTAATTTATCTGTAAATTTTTACCACCAAGGAAAGTGTTTGAAAGAGTGATGAGTCCAAAGGACAAAATAAATGAGAAGAAATGGATTCATTCAATGTGTAGTAAAAATAAAGGACTATATGAATAGTAAGAGATGTATAATATGTCTCCTTTGTCTCTTTCTCCGATCATGTTAGGATAAGTTATATGGGCTAGCCACTTATGTTCATTATGATCTATCTTTTTCTAGTGTGCTCGTAATTATAACCCCTTGTAACACATCTCCTTGGTAATTTTTCCATGTATCAATGTCCACTCTTCTGCTTTTTAGCCTTCAATAATGCTTTTGTAAGCCTTTTCGGCTCCGAGGTGAGTTGGCGGTGTCATTTTAGTTATCTAGAGGAACTTATCATCGAGTTCATTACATGCGCCTGGCCAAGTTGGTTTCTTAGGCAAGTTGGTCAAGTTGTCTTTTTTGAGTGGCATTAGCTGACCTCGTTGAATGAGCTATTTGGATGAGCAGTCTGGCTGTGCTGCTCTGTTGTATTGTCTAAATAGCTCCCATCACAACTTGAATCCGATCTAAAGTTTTGATTGTACATATTTGGTTCATCAATTCTCTTATTTATTTGTTAGTTCGGGCCCTCAACCATTTTTCTTAAATAGTGGGGAAAGGGCACTCGCTAATCATCCTTATCATAAGTTTGCTTCTTTCACTTCCAGTATTTGTTTCTCAGCCATGTTCCTCTTGCTGTAAGACTGAAGAACAGAATATGTCTCGATTCCGAAGGTCTAGCTTTTAAAATGGTTGTTTGTGAAGCAAAAGATGAATGCAGTTATGAAAATAGTAAGAAAAGGATTAAGCTTGCAAAAGAATGTATTGTAAATTTTCAAGAGAGGATTCCTTCTTCGACCTCTGCTATGGATCTTAAGTCTATTGAGGAAGTACCACATGTAATGGAGCCTATGCCTGCTAAAGAAGCTCCAGTCTCGAATTCGGCTCTAGAGGAGTTCAAGGGAATGAGCGAACTATCTATTTCTACTTAGATAGAGTCGGGGTCAGAATGTTTGAGAAACAATCACATTTATGCTTATCGTTTGTTGATAACTCTAATAAGTTTGAATTAGTTTTGCAGTTGGGTTCATATTTAGTAAACTCATGGGTAAAAGATTGGTCGGTAGACCAACTTGCCCAAATGGATGAGGCAAATGTACTAAACTTGAATGAAGCATTCACCTTTCCAGAGGGGAATTCTGACTCAACCGAGGAGGGGTCTATGCAACATATTACAGAAGAAATTTCCCATCCTCTAGTTGGAAAAACTGCTTCTATGGCCATAGGTGAAAACTCGCCTACTAGAGGTATGGCATCTTTGAATGCTTTTCGGTGTGTAATTGGTTGTGGTGTTTAAAGTGTGGCGGCTGCTTGGCTCCTTGCAGGTGTCCATTTTGGTGGGTGAGTTCAAATTGAGATTCATGCAACTGGTGTATATTCTGGAGATGTAAGGAGAATTGAAGAGCTCTCCTCAGAAATGTTTTTGTCCATCACTGCGTCTAATACAGAACTCTAGTAACAATTGTCTATGTTGAAGTGTACGATGACCGAGTTGAAGAATGTATGCGAGGCATTAAAGAGGGACATGACTAATTTGAATGACATGCTCTGACTCTCAAAAGATACTTGGTGTACACTCATTCAAGCTTAATTCATGGTAGAGTGGTGAGTTCATGTTAAGCTGGTTGATAAGAATTGGTTAGATTCTTTCTAAGGCAGCTTCAGATTGGTGTTTTTATTCTTTTGTGAACCAACATGACTGCTTTTATAGTAATTGGTGTGTTTTTCTGTATTGGCCCTACTAAGTTGGTGACTTTTACCATTCTTCGTAGTTTGGGTGTGGTATTGGAAATATGGAAACTTTACTCTTACACTTTTGCCCTTGTGATCATTACTTTCTCGCTTAAACATCCATCTTCACCATATAAATCCCAGCGCTCTATCTTATTTTTTTCTAGCATGTTGTCTTCTCCACAAAAACATGGTGCTTTATTTCTTAGCTTCATGATTGAAAATGGGCTTTTTCATCTTCTACAGCAACAAGGCCTTCGTGGAACTTGAGTTCACTCATAACTAACATCTCCGATGTGTATATAAGTTTAGCGCAACTTGAGTTCATTTTCAATGGTTCGATCAAGCTTCGAGCTGCATGGAAAGGTGATTTTTCCAAGGCCTACAAGGGCGAGTTCATCCAATTCTCTGGATGGACATCAAGCTATCTGGCCAGGGGAGTAAGATCAAAGACTAGAGTGGAAGTGTTGCTTCTTCTCGTGTGCAAGTGGATGGTCGATTGGCAACTTGGCCTCAGCTCTTCACTCCATATAATGCCACACCGTTGATTTTGATCCCTGATGAAGAGAAGAGATTCTTCACCTTGAATAAGCTTGAGCTGTAGTTGAAAAGCTTCGTGGAGTACAACTTCATGGAAAGAACACTTGCTCGTAAATTTCTCTTCTTTATGAGCTTGGCTTGAGGTTGTTGAATTGTTTCCAAGGAGCTAGGTTCTGAGGTATGTTAACAGTTATTCAATCAACTCTGTGTTTAAGAAAATTTATGGAATCAAAATGACTTTATTTCATTTATAATTTTAGTTTCTATCATTGATAGAATCAAATTGCAAAAGTTTTATCCATCTTTGTTATCAAATATCTTTATTGATAAATTGAACCTAAGATATGTGAAATTGTCTTTTACATTTGGCGAGCCAAATGAATTATCAAGTCTAACATTTGGCATTTGAGCAAGTTTAAATAACATTTCTGTTTTGAATTATATTTATTTAGACTGAAATGACTAACATAATTAAACATAAGAATGTCATTATATTTATTTAGACTAAAATGACATGTCTTGTTCACGTCAAAGAAACTTAATTAGAAATTTTAATCAAATGTTTAATGTTAGCAAAACAAATTTAATTTTTATTCAATTATGGTGAAATTTTATGAAAATTTTGTAATTGCATATATTTCATTATTAAGTATTAGAGCATAAAAATGAATGTTTTAATTATTAATATAATTTGCATAATTATAGATTAGTCACAAGATCCTTAATTATAAAATTATATAGAAAAACTTTATAAATCACATATATAATTAAAAAGTATTAATTGCATCCATGTAATATATTTTTTCCATAGTATTTTTGTTATATTTATAATATCACATATATTTTCTAATTTACCCACATGGATTATAAAATAGAAAATAATTTAATAGTTTTACTATAAAGATTTAACGAATTTAGTTGAAGTAGAACTTTTAGCCTTCTGACAAGTTTTATTTCGGTAAATTCAGAATTATTTATTACATGTTTTACATTTGTAATTCATGATCTATATATATTAGCCTCTTTCTCTCTTTCACACACACGGGCACACACAGGCACACACACGTGCACACACAGGCACACACACTCACCCTTATTATACAATTAGTAAGCATTTTTTATATTAAGTGTGAAATTTCTAAACATATGAGTGGGAAATATAAAGTATGGAAAGAGAAAATTCTCATTCATTTAGGTTGCATGGCATTGATTATGCTACTAGGAAATACGAATCACCTGTAGTTACTGAAGCCTGTAGTATTGATGATTTCGCACTTTATGAATATTAGGAAAGGTCTAATTGCTTCAGTTTGTTGTTCTTAAAGACGAGATATTTGTTGGTATACATGGTTCAGTTGATTAGCATAATAATGTTAAAGACCTATATAAGGCAATTAATGAACAATTCATCACTTCAGATAAAGCTCTTGCCTGTATTCTAATAATTAAGCTTTCAATCATGAAGCTAACTGTAATAAAAGATGTGCAGGAACATAATATGCAAATGCGGGACATTGCATCTCAATTGAAGATTGTTGAGGTTGATTTGTCTTTTTGATGCACTGTATTTTGGACGCCCTTCCATAACAATATGGTCTTTTCAAGATATCTTATAACAAGTAAAGATAAATTGTCAATTAATGAACTTATGACCATTTGTGTTTAAGAGGAAGAAAGTTTGGCTATGGAAAGGGGGTGAAAGTACAATGCTAGCTACACACGAAAAGTATTGGAGCCAAAGTCAAATTATGAAGGAATGGAAATTTAAAATACCACCCCAAGCTGAAATCAAAGAGGAATCCAAATGTTTCTTCTATGAAAAGAAGAGAGACATGAAAAAGGATTGCAACAAATTCAAAGCTTGTCTTAACAAGAAAGATAAAACAATCTTACTTGTTGATTGGTTTTGATTCTAGAATTCACATTTGCAATATCTTACAAGAAATGCAAATCCTAAGGAAACTAGTGAAAAGTGAGCAACACATCCATTCAGGGAACTAGATGCGCTCACATCTAGAAGCTACATGAACATGTTATATAGTACTTAAGTAGTGATTTTAATTTGGAATTAGAAAAGGCTTTTTATGTACCTAGTTTTTCTAAAAACTTAATTCCAGTTTCAAGACCTATAACTTTGGGGTTTTCGTTGGACTTTTTAGAAATTTTTGTTAGTTTGTATTATAAATCTAAATTTATATGGAATGATATTTTGTTTGATGGTTTTTTCTATATTAATTTACAAAATATCTTTACTCATGATGTGATGCATATTCAAGCTAACCTTAAAGGGTGTTTTATAAACGAAAGTTTATCTATGTTGTGGCACTGGAGATTATGACATATCTCTATAGATAGAATTACAAGATTAGTGAATGAAGGGATACTTTGTGCTTTGAATTTCACTTACTTTGATATTCGTATAAGTTGCATAAAGGGTGAGTAAACAAACAAATCAAATAAAGATGCAAGATGTGTACAGACATATTGGAAAGCATACATACAAATAT